ACCTTAATTCAGCTATTCGTCCAGTGCCTCATAGCTCTGAAATACCAGTTCCCCTCCCACCTTCCACTTTGGCTGATATACAGAGTGATTCGGAGGAAAGAACTATATTACCACCCCAGGATGAATCCAGCTCAGATTTTTCTGTTGATGAGGGACCCCAACCTTTTTCTCAGAGTGAGCTCAATGACTTAGTTAGAGATTTAGGCCTTTCCAAAGATGCAGCCGAACTGCTAGGGTCAAGACTAAAAAATAAAAAATTTGCTGTCACCTGGAACATCATTCTCGTGGTACAGGCACCGAGTGAAGGAATTCACTCAGTTATTCTCCAAAGAGGGAAATGGGAGAAAAAGAAAAAGAAGCATGGGACTCCTTCAAAGACGTAGTGCACAAGTTTTTGGGGAACACTGAAGACCCTCTCTACAAAACCAATGTACAACGCATGTTGGCTGCATATAAAGCTCAAGGTTGCAAGATGAGCTTAAAAGTTCATTTTTTACACTCCCATGTCGACTATTTTCCCGAAAACTTGGGAGCCTATAGTGAAGAGCAGGGTGAACGATTTCACCAGGATGTCCGTGATATCGAAAGACGCTACCAAGGAAGATGGAATGTGAATTGGCCAGCTGACTGCTGCTGGATGATCAAGCGGGAAAAGGAAAATGGAAAGCGAAAGCGCGTTCGGAGAAGCATCAAAGAGAAGAACAAAAAGTTTCACAGGCAAAAAGACTGAACACAGAATGTTAAATATATCGTGAGGGAATTGTTTGTTTAATTATGAGAAATAATATGTTTAGTTCAATGTAATAAAAATAGTGATTTTTTTCATCAGTTATGATTTTTTATTGTAAACCCCTATTATTTTCCAAAAAAACTGTACGTGATAGGGGGAAATTGAGATCATTTTTGCATTCAGCACCCTAGAAAACATAAAGTTTACCAAAAATATTCCATGCAGCTGGAAAAAAAATATTTTTGCAGACCTGTGTATTCGTTTCAATAAAAGCGTCAGCAGAGTGTGGCGGATGTAGCGGTTCGGACATTGGTTTCATAAACATCATGCACTCTGTCATTATACTGTAAATATATGTCAAAGAATGTTTACTAACAAGTCAAGGGAGGAGACACGACTCAGATTATGCAAGAAATAGCAATGTGAGCAATAGTGTATAAAGGGAGACATTGATTAAAATGGACCAAAATAATACAGAAACCGCTGATACGAAATTACTTAGAAAGGCAGCCGAATATTCCATACTAAATGTGGTTATAAGAATATATTAATAAATATTTTAATCCAATGGGCGAATAAATGAATACCGCCAAAACTGTATTATCTTCGAAGAATTCCGAATTCCAGGATTCCGACATAAATTTAGATTTATAGACCAGTTGGAAGGAGAGTTCCGAGATGCCCATGAATGCGATGGGCAGTCCTATTTAAGGTGGGACCAAGCTATATGATTTGGCCGCACCACAGCTCAAGTGGTTAGTCGCTGGTTTCCCACCGCGACGGCCCGGGTTCGATCCCGGGGTCTGGTCAAGTGAGATTTGTGGTGGACAAAGTGGCGCTGGGGCAGATTTTCTCCGAGTACTTCGGTTTCCCCTGCCAATCTTCATTCCACCAACTGCTCCACAGTCACCCTCACCTATCATCTGGGGCTGGTACAATAGGCCAGACGTGGCCGCAGTACAAGGGACTTAGTCCCACCCCACTAGCAATAAAAAAAAAGCTATAGGACGTAATCACCGACTGCTGATGATGGTGACGATATAAATCCAATTCTGTATGAATATGGTTGGGTTCTGTGTTTATGACAGCAGCTACAATTCAGCCGACGTTGCAGTGGCTGACGATTCTGCTGAAGCTACTGCACAACAGCTGCAGGTTAGTTTACATGGAGATTTGGTTAGAGGGAATTTCAGTTATCAATATACTGGATACAAATTAGTCGAGATGCAGACTATTAAATTACCGTATGTAATCATATTACAATACAGATTTGAACATAAAGATTTATTGGGCTCGTATCCTCATTTAATTACGGCAATCAGTATCATATGCAAGTCTTTCAGAATGTCGAAGCGCTAAAATAAAGTATAAAAATGCACATATTCGTAGATAGATAACATAACTCCATGGTTTTAGTCCGCAAGCGAACTATACCTACCGAGCGACCGCCGTTTGTCGGCGAAGTTAGTACCAACTTCAGCGGATAGAGGGTGTCGCGTGGTCAGCGCAACGAATCCCAATGGCCCTTAATTTCGGTTTTGTAGACCGACATATTCGTGGATACATATGTAATACAGCAGCATATACTGAATGGATTGTATTTGTGATTGTATGTATACATGTATATGTAGGCGTACACACACACACACACACACACACACAGTAAACCCTAGTTACAATGAACCAATAGGATAGGGGGATGGATGCCCATTATCGTCGCAGTCTGCTATAACCGAGCGAAGGGGAATTTTTGTACATAGCCAATATATGCAATAAACATACAAATACACAGTGTGAATATATACAGGTCATTATATTGGGTTTCTTTTGTATTTTAAATAGTTTTCTTAATAACAAATCCATTTTAGTGCCTCATCGTCTCTACAAATTCACAATTGCACACAGCCAGATTCTGTCAGTTACAACAAGGGGTTCTCTGTTTATGTACAGTATGTTTGTGTGTGTGGNGGGGGGGGGGTCCTGGTGGTGGTGTAGTGTTGTGTGATGTGGTTTGGTGTTATGTAATGTGATGGGGTGTGCTGTTGTTCTGTGTTGTGTTGTGTGCGTGTAAGGCGAAGTTCTAAAATGCGAATGACATTCATGAAGTGTAAGTGAAACATTTACCCACAGAATTTTTTTTAATAATCCAAGCTGCTAAAAGCAGAAGTGTTGTAAATCGTTTCTGAATGGAAGTAAGCTTAGGCCCCCCATACACACACAGTTTGGCCTTCCGATTGACCTTACAGGCAAAACTGTGACAGTTTACCACCTCCCTTTCCTCCCCATACACGCGCAGATAAAGCGGCAGGCTTCATGCCACAATCACGGCCTTCCAGTCTATAATGCTGAGTCACACACGTCGCGTGCTACGGTCCTGCAGGCAGAACTGACGGACTGGCGGGTTTCCCACAGGCCAACAGTCCAAACGATTGGCCGGCCGGCCGCACCACACACATCAGTTTTGCCTTTCAGTCTTCAACTGTGCAGGCCGAACGGAAGGCCAAACTGTGTGTGTATGGGGGGGGGGCCTTACAGTTAATCCTGATAACGGTATCGTCAATCTCATTGCTGAATTAGTGGTGTATGTCGTACTTCATTGTGATATCACTGGGAGCAGCACCTGTCAGGCACATGTAACCATTTGTTTAACGTATTATCTATAAATATTATGTATGACTATTTGTTGTTTATTTAATGACACTAACCGTAACTCAGTCTACACAGCATAGGATCACGGGATAGTAAATAAGGAATTGGAAAGGATGTGAAATGAAGCGGTCATAAGTTAACTGAATGTCCTGCTCGGACATTTGTGCGAAGGTGACTAAGGAGAAACACGAAAAACTTAGTCGGGAAATCCGGTGCCGCGACAGACATTCGAATTGGGTACCTCATAAACAAAAGTCATAAGAGTTACCATTTGATCCGGCTTGTCAGGTCAGTAGTGGGGTAAATCAAAATGATCTGACACAAAAAAATTACCTAAAGTAAACATTTTCAAAAAGTCTTTACAAAACACTGTGTTACAAATGTAATAAACACAACATGAACAGATTAAGCCAATGCGACAATTTTTCGCAACGGATTGCAATAAATCTTCTGTATCTCACAACCATGGTTCATTTACACCACTTCGTCTTCAACAGCTCATTTATTTCTCCATATTACACACATACACACACACATACAGTCTTTCATCTCCCTAGTTTTCTCCATTTCTCTGTTTCGAACACTGCTGCTAAACTATCATAACCAGCTTTTTACAGTGCATCAGCGCTCTGTGTCCTTCATTGTACCGTTGCTTGGTAAATGTTTAGTGCATAAAGCGATCATTATGCAGATCTACGGCGATAAATAATACAACAGCACAGCGCGAATAGCTTATGCATAAGGCTGTAATAATAAATAATTTCGCTATTTAAATAGTTTATTTTAAGGAACAACCTGGACGAATAATGAATACTTTCGCAAAAGCGGTGGTTGCTTTACCAAAGATCAACTGTAATTTTTGAGAATTTCATAAAATTGATATTACGCCGTTACGAGAAACAGGCAGTTGCTTTAATTGTGTGAGGCACCCTATGAATGGGCACTGTTGTTAGTGAGCTGCTTTACGAATCTTCCTGCTGAATAATGGTTCAAACAAGAGAACCAAAACAAATTATTGAAATAACAGTTCGCAAACGAAACAAGTCACAATAAACTGCGCTTAGAATCAAACGCACTCAGTTCGATTACACTACGCTTTAATACGTTCTATTAAACTGACCTTTGATTTGCGATTAACATAAAATTATTCCACCACATTCAGCTTTTAATATAAACGTTTCATTGGCCCGGGAACACGTGAAGTTTGTTTATTTAAAACCAAAAGGGTTCCGCAGCAGAAACAAAATTTCGGTAACACTGCGACAGATAAGGTAACACTATCCCTGTAAAAGGCAGTGGAAGCCCACAGGGTTGTGAGACGTCGAGGCTCCCACATTTTTCTAGACAATCGGCTCACAGATAGCAGTGAGGCTATCAGCCCTATGCGCCCGCCGGATCCCCAGGAAGATTCATGGTACTCATTTCTGTTAGAGGCTAGGTCGACCCTTGGACCACAGTAAGGCTGGAACGATTAGGTAAATTGAAAAATCCAATGACTTAATCGGAAATCGAACCCGAGACCTTCCGGGCTCTCAACCTACTTACACTGCCGCGTGCCCCAATACTGTGCCAGAGCATATAAAAATAAAGTTTTAAATATATTTTCTCTCTCTCTCTACAGTGGTTTCGGAGTACACGAGATCTACTGGATCCATCGCCCACAGAAGAACTGTCACACTCAACGGATTCCAGGTACCATGGAAAGAAGCGCACGAACTCCTACCCCTCACGAAGTGAGAGAAGAGACTACGTCATCAAGATCTCAACAGGATTCAGCCTGGAAATAAAACTACGACAAAAGTGCGATTGACCAACACAGTAGCAGGCGCGCTTTTCATACGAATACATGACGTCACCTTGGACCTATGAATAGCAATCTAGACCCTACAGTTAAAACAAACACTGCCACTGTGGCAACGGAACGCCAAGAACCCTAACAAATATCAAAACGGCCATCATCGGACATGGTTCTGAGCCAGTTCCATCCATTTCCTTAAGATTCATTTTAAATTAATCTTCACATCTCCTTTTCGGTCTTAAAATGGGAGCTTTTCAAGGGGACTGTCCACTACTATGTGCATACACTCCGTGTCCCAGCCACCCTACCCACATCCCCAGCACAGTGTCTTCTACTGCTCCAATACTAGAATCGTGGGTTCAAATCCCACTCAGGGCATCGATGTATGTGTTGTCCTCTGCATATACAGGTCCTGCAAAGGGGCGGGTCTTCGGATTCCACTCGTATCCTACCACACAAGAAAAAAAGGACGACGACAGCGTTCCTTGTTACATAATACAAACAGCTCACTAATTCCATCCTTCCTATCCTCCGAATTTGTGTTCTTCATTTTGGAACGTGGGGCCACCCTTTTGAGAATATTTTACTGACCCATACTCACTAATGTGCATTGCAAAATCACAATACATCACGGGTAATTCTGTATCAGAATTTCAACAACAAATTTAATGAACTTATCTGAGATATCGTGTAGCTAAACGGAAGAAGCCACGTCTGAAGGAAAGAGACCATTAGACGTAAGCACGTGCGGCAGAGCATCGAAACGTATTTTAATGAGCACAGGCGCATGGGGACTGAATATAGGATAGAGGGCAGTGGCGGTCCCTTGTGAACATAACACCGAATCTTCGGGTGCTACAGAAGGCGGAATAGTGTTGCCTTGCTGAGATATTATTAGTTTCTGAAAGGGAACTCTGATCCAAACAGTTAATTGGCAACAAGAATATGAATATCATAAAGAATGTAAATACCTTTCCCACTTGCATTATTAATAATGGCAAGCGTATTTATATCCATTTTCATGAAACTGGGCTCTGGACGCAGGGTCAGCACATACAATTACTGACTCAGATTTCCTGGATGATGTATCGTAGTTTGCTTTGTAATTTGTTTCAGATGGGGGAAAAGTAAATAAAATAAGCGTTAGCGGCAAGGATAAAAAATACGAGGCGATCACCGCACTAGACAAAAATAAAACATATACCATATTTTGGTTAACAGCTAGTGTACACAGTGTCTTGTGAATTTCGTGCAAATAAATGTCAACTTGACTGACATAATCATATACAGTATCATATTTTGGTTAACAGTTATTCTATTAATAGAGTGTGTTATGAATTTCGTGCAAATGAGTGTAAACTTGAAGACTTATATAAACTGAAAACAAGTAGTGTTATAGGCTTGAATGGATTGTGACGATGGTGTATACTGTGCTTCTGGCTTCTATTGGACATCGTCTGGTATGTAAAAGACAAAAGACCACGACGTTTCGGAGACTGGATCTGTCTCCGTCTTCGGGTGGGTAGGGAAGGATAAAATCTACTCAGTTGGGCCCGTTAGAAAGAGCTAGTCTCAATCCAGAGGGTGTCGCGTGGTCAGCGCAACGAATCCCCACGGCCGTTAATTTTCGGTTTTCTAGACCGGAGCCACTATTTCCTTGAAATAGCTCCTCAGTTATCCTCACGAGGTTCAGTGGACCCCGTTCCAGATCCACTACTTCTCAGAAAATCTGGTAACGCCGGGAATCGAACCCGGACCTATGGATCTGTAGCCAGGAACTTTGACCACTAGACCATAGAGGCCGTCAATGTACTGTATATACAACTATTAACGATATATGTGCATCGAACTTCACTGCAAGTAACACCCTGTTTCCTTACACAAACTCGAAAACTGTCAGCATCAACGACAAAACCTATCAACATTTTAAACAAGGAAGCAACGCGTAAATACGAGTACATGCCAACTGTCATTCTCACTATCCTCATTTGGTTTCATAAACGATGCATGGAACTATGCATCAAACAAACAAAAATACACACTGCACAAGTCAATCAAACATTCTTTAATGTAACGTATTTAGGAATTTTGTGTATCTGTGATAATGTCTATCAGCTGTTGATGACTGAAAATAAATATAATTAATTCCATATATGAGGTTTTATTTAAGGAGTATTTTTATTGTTGTTTTACATGGATTTTAAACTCCGTTTTCCCTCTACGGCAGCGGTTCTAGAACCTTCTGATACCGTGATCTCCCAAAAATAACATAAATTTACGCGAAACCCCCTTTCTGCCAGTCAGCGAAAAAAGCAATTATGCATTTTACAGCAGTTTCCAGTCGGCTGTACGGCTGTACGGCTGTACGGTGACAGGAGGAACCTAAACAGCTTCACAACATGTGCACACCTACAACAAGCTAGAAAACATTCTTGAGTCACGAAAAAATTCGATAAATGTTTCGCTGGACTTTTCGAAAGCACCTATATTAAACCTTATTGACTTGTCAGTACTATGAATGGATAGTACTATATTCCAAATGGTTCTTACGAACTCGGAGACTCCTTCTTGAGGGGCACGACCATACTTTGAGATAACATGCTCTAAGGGAAAGTGAAGACTGACGGTGTCAGGCAGTAGGATGTTAAGAGCAATATCCTGATCTAACACTGAGGAAGGAAGAGGGGGATGGACAAAACTTTACAATGAGGTGATTTATTCGTAGCTGCGTCAAATACGAAAGCCAATCAAATGAAGGAACACGGTCTGGCCATAATAGCGTGCTTGTGGGAAATGAGAAATGTAAACAATATTTTAATTGGGAAATCTGAACGAAATAACCACTTAAGAATTAATATATTGAAGGATATTATTAAAATGGTTACTAAAGGAACGAGATGTGAGGGTGTGGATTGTGGATCGGATTCATAAGGTTCGAGACAGGGTTACGTGGTAGTTTCTTGCGAACATGAAGATCAGCCTTCGGATCTCAGAGAGGATGGGAAATTTCTTAATCATCTGAGCGACTATTAGCTTATGAAAATGGGCTCTGTTCCATAGAGTTCGCTAGTTAGTTACTTTACGTTACGTTATGTCCAAGCATAACACACAGGCAATAAACTGTTCAACAAGCAAGATGGACAAATCAGCACTGATTGCATTTATATGTTATTTATTTCAACGGCTTTTTCAGCCAATTCAGGGCACGGGCTCCTCATTCAGTTCCGTAATCGTTTTCCACAGTCGGTTGGACTCTTTGGACGGGTGATCGGTCCGTCGGACTCCTTGGACGGGTGATCAGTCCGTCGCAACGCCTCTACCTACACACAGGACAACATAAACACAGAATAAACGCATACACACACCAAACACCCATGCCGTGAGTGGGATTCGAACCCTCGACCCCAGCGTCTGAGCGAGGGGAGACAGTTCATGCCTTAGACCGCGAGGCCGCTGTGACCAGCACATTTATATGTGCTAATATGCATCAACTAAAACATTTACTGACCATGCTAGTTTACGTCCTCTTGGAATTTGATCGAAGAAGCTACTTTTCATGAACCTCAGCATCAGGACAGCACAGTATCCAATTTAAAAAACTGAACATATACGTAAGTTGTATACATCTCGTACACGAATGTGTATCTGTAATTCACACAAGAAAAACACCGTGGCCTGTAGTCTGCAAGCGAACTATACCGACCGAGACACCGCCGCTTGTCGGCGAAGTTAGTGCCAACTTTTGTGGACAGAGGGTATCACGTGGTCAGCGCAACGGTTCCTCATGACCGCTAATCTCGGTTTTCTAGACCGGACCCGCTACTTTGCCATTCACTTAGCTCCTCAATCATCCTCAAGAGGCTGAGTGGACCCCGTTCCATGCCCACTACTTTTCAGAAAATCTGGTAGCGCTGGGAATCGAACCCGGGACCTCTGGATCTGTAGCCAGGAACTCTGACCACTAGAACACAGAGGCGGGCTTTTGTAATTCATACACTAATGTTATTGAGGGCGTAAACAGAAAACAAACATCTTAAAATGTAGTCGGTTGATTTATCGAACTTTATATTATAGTACTGGAATAACTGTGAGAATGTCCATCAGTTGCTAACTTTACGGCCAGACGCACGACTCCGGAAACTTGAACATTCCGCCAAGAAACACGGAACACGAAACAACAGCAGGGATTCGGGCTACGGGTTTGTGTGCGTGTATAGGACAACAGCTGCCAATTCCACCGAATAATCAAATCAATCCAACGACCGATATAAACTGTAATTATAAAGAAATTATTCTACAGTATTCTCTAAATTCAGCAAGAAAGCTTTCAGGATGTCCCTGATCATGACAGCTTCTATAACATTCAGCGCAGTTTAGGTTCGCAACCCTTCCAAAAGGGGAAACGTATTCCAAAATATAGTTGTGGGCAGCTTGCGTAACACAGTCCACTTACACGAAGGATTAAGGGCACGAAGAAGAATCTTAATTTCTCATTACATTATTTCTGTAAGATTTAATTCATATTCTCAATTCTCTGGAACTATTCAACCAGATACAAGTCTCTGTTTATTAGAAGAGAGTTTGTACCAGAAGACCGTGGTGGACAAAGTGGCATTGGGGCAGGTTTTCTCCGAGGACTTCAATTTCCCCTGACAATTCTCATTCGACCGACTACTCCACACTTATAACCTATCATCCGGGGCTGGTACAATAGGCCAAAGAGTGGCCGACGTACCAAGCGGACTCAGGTCTCATCCCACCCCAAGAACTTCTCGCAGTTTTGTGGAACCCGAAGGTTCGTTGCCGTCTTCACAAGAGCCCTCCACTAGTCCCTATCCTGAGCCAGATCAATCCCATTCTATCTCTCTAAGATCCATTTTAATATTGTCCACCCAACTACGTCTTGGTCTTCCCAGTGGTCTCCTTCCTTCCGGCTTTCCCACCAATATCCTATATGCATTCCTCCTCTCCCCAATTCGTACTACATGCCCTGCCCATCTCATCCTCCTTGACTTGACCATTTTAAATAAACCTGGAAACGATTACAAGTTATGAAGCTTCTCACTACTCAACCCCAAGAACTGTTCCAAAATATAATGAGGGTGAATACTGTATTTTATCGGTTTAGGAAATAGAGAAAAATATGAAGTGTTTAAAAATCTCAGAATTATAAACACTGCAAACATTATTCTTAAATATCTGTTGCACTAATTTCGCCGACAAGCGGCGGTAGCTCGGTCGGTATAGTTCGCTTGTGGACTAAAACCAAGGAGTGTCTTTGTTTTTGTTTATGAATATCGTAACGCATCTACATCTCAGACTATTTGTTATGAGGATGGCGACAGAACGGCAGTCAGTTCTAAAACTACGTTAGTTCCGAACTGTGGCCTTTGCGTAACGGAATATGACGAGGTGGCGCCTCTCATTTCCAGCAACCAGATCTGCCCCGCTGTGCATACAAATCTGTTGCTGCAAACTTATATTCATTCAACGAAACCATCTAATACGTGTTCGACGAACATTCATTAAATAAATAACAAGATTTTACTCTACTTCCTTACCCGTTATATCGATCAAAAAACGTTTCAAATAAAAAGTGAAGAGTTTAATAATCTCTGTAATTTACACAACATATAATTATTTTTGTTATCAAGACTCTTCGCTTAAAATAGCAGAGTTAAATTTGAACTTAGAGTAAAGTAGGATTTATGTTTGTGTTACAAACCAAAATTACCTTTGCTCAACAATATTCACAGTACATGAAATTTCATGGTAATTTTATTAGTAGTTCCAGAGATGAAACACGCAGACGAACACAACTTATGCATAAACAGAAAAGGACAGCAACGTTTTGTTATATGTTGCAGAAACGTACAAATAGCTGCTTCAAAGTTAGTTGCACTGCCTATTAAGATATTATGTTATCTTTGTAGAAGTTGAGATTCTCACAGTACTATCTCCTGGGATAGTCCGTTTAAACTCAAACGACGTTTCAGAAGAACATGCAGGATAGAAGAATAAGCCAAGGAAACTAACGTGAAACCAGGTGGAAAGCAGAGCCACTGCTGCTTGCCACCTGCTTTCATGCTGGTCTCTTGCTTGGCTTATTCTTCTATCCTAAACATGGAAGAGACATGTTCCTCCGAAACGTCGGTTGACTTTCAAGGGCTATATGGTGTTATATTCCAGACGACAGAACTCTTTTTTCTCTTTATTCTGCTTAACATTTTCGGCAAAGAAAAAAAATTAAAATTAAACTAGCAAATGTTAATAATATCATTACTTTATTTTACATATAAATCCTTCGTGTTATGACCTCTTTCTGGGAAGAGAAGTACACTTAGATCTGGGCTGCAGCTAAAACAGGGTTTGCATTTTGACTATACGAACCACAAATTCGGTCAGCAAAATTTTAGTACCGACCCCTACTTACTTACTCATGGAGCTGAGCCCTTCTGGAGGAGCCGCCAATTCTGCAGCTACTCAAGAATTTCCCAGCATTTTATG